CAAATTATTTGCTCTCATCATAATTGCTTTTGCCATTAGTTGTTTACATCTGAAAATGTTTTAACCTTACTGCACTGATCAGCTTATTGATAGACAGTCATAGCCTACTAGGCCAAGGAGTTGGTAGAGTATGGCCATAAAACTGCAAATCTATGCTAAAGGTCACAACTAATAAAAGCCATTAATTCTGCTTACAGTAAAAGCCTGTGATTGGTGGCTCTAGTATGTTCAGGAAACTGACACTGAAAAACATTAAATATGCCGTTCATTTAGTATCTAAATTCAAATCAAATTCATCTGCTGAAAGTAAAAAAACTCCATATTTCCACGTGTATGACCCATACTGTCAATGGAATATGTAAATGAAGATCAGAATAAAAACCTACGTTTATTTTTAATGTTCCTATGAAGGGAGTTTCAGTGTTTCCTGGTTCCAGGTCAGTAATCATCAGGTTTATGATGACACATAGATACATTTTCACACACTAGACTGGTGTTAGTATGAAAGGATAAATAAAGGGCTGGCTTATCTAAAGCCAGTTGAGTAGCACTTGAAATGTTTTAGCTCTATGAAACCTGATGTACTTATATGATTCTGTTTTCTTCAAGTTTGTATATTGTTGGTCGAACGCATTTATTGTATGTCGCTTTGGATAAAAGCGTCAGCTAAATGCAATGTAATGTAATGTAATGTAAAAGGAGAACGAATGGTTTAACCCATGTTGGTCACTGAGTGGTTTATTTTAGCTTGAACGAGTAGAGGAACTGGCAACTGAAACCAAAAGTCTGGGTCTTGAAACACACATAGGTCATCAATTCTACTTCGATTTTTATTTTAGGTTTTTCAAAAGTATCCCCCTGGGAGTCAGCTAAATACTGAAAAATAACAATGGACATTCAAACAGAAAAAGTGTACCCTCTCTGGCAGAGTATTCGTCGTCCTCTATGACTCTTGCCAGTCCAAAGTCAGCGATTTTGCAGAGCAGACACTCTGACACCAGGACATTGGCTGCTCTCAGGTCTCTGTGGATATATTTCTTATCCTCTATATACGCCATCCCCTCCGAAATCTGCAACAGCACAAGAAAGATATGGTGTCAACATAAGAGAAAAGAGATAACAAATAATTTAAAAAAATGGTTTAACGTGAAGTGCCCAATTCTATATACCATTTCAGACAAGTCTATGGGTGACACAGAAATTCAGTTCAAACTAGTGTTGATGGCAATAGATTTAAAGATATTGTGTGAATTACTTCACGATGATCTGAATAAAGTGTCTTCAAACAGTTCCTTGGAATAATATAAAGTCATAACATGTGGATTTGATTCATCATTATTTTTGACATCTTATCGACAAAGAGATTAATATATATACAGCTCAAGTTCAAACCCAAACGTAGCAAATAATCCCAGTTCCAGCTATTTGTATTGGTTTTTACTAATGCTGAAAGTAGAAATCTGCAAACTAACATAGTTGTTCTTATCATACTTTATTTTATGTTTATCTTATCCATGCTTTACCAACTTAATCGAGTTAGCATTTAACCTTTAGTCGCACGCTTAAGGGTAGGAAAAACATTGTCAGCAAAGCTTCCCTTTGCAATTCTGTAATGATGTCATAATAATTTTCTGAAAGGTTTCATGTAAAAATGGCTAGATGTGTTACAAATTCTGGCAACATTTTGTATTTCTTTAAAGGAATTGCTCCATTTACAATTACATCAATGTAAATGTTCGACTATTATCAATTCATTAAACGAAACTTAATCGGTGAAGTGTCAGTTTATTGCTTTTGGTTATGGTTCCTCCTTTCAGTTCAACAATGGAAAAAGTTATGTTATGTCTGTTTCACAATCATGGCAGAGAGTGAGCATAGGAAAAAGCAGCATATTGCGGTCAGTGTGCAAATCACCTGCGCTGAGAAATCAATGAGCTTGGGCAACTGCAGTTTGCATCCTTCGTCACTCTTTAAGAAGTCTAGTAGGCTCCCTAAAAACAAGAGAGAATATTTACAATGTTAGTTTCTCATGTGTCCATGCATGTGGTATACTGTATAGGCTACTTACATGTGTATCCTTGTTTGCATTTTTGTTAATATAAGGTTTCGGGTTTTTAGAAGTAATATAGAAAAAGTTTTTTTTTTGCTAACCTGCAAACCTCCTCTGTGAAATACAACCATAGGTCAATGTGTGATCACATGACTTTTTATGTCACAATTCTAAACTGCTGACATTTGCACTTCTTATTACTGGATGATTAATCTCATGGATGATTAATTATTCTTACAAGCCGGCACAGAACTATGGACCACCGTGTCACCGTGAGATAAAGAGACATGTGCCAACACAGAGGAGTATAGCAGGATAACATAAAACCAATACAAAGAGACACAAAAAGACTAGACTACAAGGAGACAAAAACAACAAAAATAAGTGATGCAAAAAGCCATGAAAGTAGGCGCAAAAAAAAAGCAACGACGAAGAGATGCTGACCAAAAAACGGCCAAAGAAAAGTAAATCCTGGGAACCGAAAACAATTACAATATGACAAAAAACAAATGCAGACTCAAAACAACTACAAAGAGACTCAAACAACTACACAGAGACTCATCAAAAACTACCAACAGACTAAAAATGACAACAACATTACTTCAAATAGATTTAGAAAAAATTACAGAGACTTGAAATGACTTAAAAATGACTCAACATGACTACAAAGAAACACAAAATGGCACAAAGGGAAAAAAAGAGACAAAATAATTACTGTAACGAACATAAGAGTAACAAAGTGACAAAATAATTACTGTAACGAACATAAGAGTAACAAAGTGACAAACTAATTACTGTAACGAACATAAGAGTAACAAAGTGACAAAATAATTACTGTAACGAACATAAGAGTAACAAAGTGACAAACTAATTACTGTAACGAACATAAGAGTAACAAAGTGACAAAATAATTACTGTAACGAACATAAGAGTAACAAAGTGACAAACTAATTACTGTAACGAACATAAGAGTAACAAAGTGACAAACTAATTACTGTAACGAACATAAGAGTAACAAAGTGACAAAAACATGAGCACCAAGAGAAACAAAAAAGACGAGTACCGACGCTGTTATCCAAGGAAATGTTATGCAGCCTTTTCGCATTTCTGGTATACTTGCATGTCTCTGATCATCAATATGCTACATTTTAATTTCTTCACGTATGAAAATCTTCCATGTGTTAAAAATAAAGGTCATTTACCATTTGACATGTATTCTGTGATGATAAAGATGGGTTGTATCTTGGTGACGACAGCGTAAAGCCGCACCAGCCTGTCGTGCTGCAGCGTCTTCATGACGTTGGCTTCATCCAAGAAGGCTTCCACCGTCATGGTGCCTGGCTTCAGCGTCTTCACCGCCACTGTTGTTAAGTTGTTGTAGTAAGCTGAATGTGCAAAAAGTGAAGGAAGAAGGAGATTTTATTTGCACATAAATATATTTTTGTGGAAGTAATAAAACCAGCTGCTTGACATGATCATTGGCTCAGTGGCTTTTGTGCTACCATGAACATACTGTAGGAGAGAATCAAACTCTTCAAAACCATTGACCATTTCTCCAGTAAAACAACTTTGGGAAGATTAAATTGTATCTTTTTAATCTTCCATAAACCAATCATTACTGAATTTTCTATGAAAATTGTTGTTACAAAATGCTAAACACATATCAATGTGTGTAAAATCATTTTTTGCAGATAAGTGCATAAGATGTCACTGCCTTTTTTCTTTTTTTTTAAATGCCAAATTATTTGCTCTCATCATAATTGCTTTTGCCATTAGTTGTTTACATCTGAAAATGTTTTAACCTTACTGCACTGATCAGCTTATTGATAGACAGTCATAGCCTTGGACGTGTCCNCATCAGCCTTGAGCTGCAGCCTGTGAGATGAAAAACTCCTCTCCACCTCCACCCTCTGTCAGCAACCTGCAGCCATCTCCTCCAACTGCACATTCTGTTGAATAGCTGATGGCTAAACCTCTATCTACAGCCTCTATAAGGAAACCTGCACAGATGTTATCCTACTGCCATGTGGAGACCTGAGTGGAACAGCAAGGACCAGAGAAACACCAAAGATATAGTCCTTCAGTTAATATTCAAAAATATTTCTGTGTTATTAAAGCTGGCTCTCTGTTTACAATCTGTTCACTTGTTCTTCTTCTCACAGGTGTTTCCATATGTGGTGTGAAAGACTGAGCTCACACTCCTCAACATGAACCTGACTGACTGTGATGATGCCTTCATGAAACGAGAGAGCTCCTCTTCCTCCCAAGTTGTACGTACAGTATAGCAGTATGAAATTTCTTAACAACACACTCTGAGTGTATTGGGATTTTTAATGGAAGTTCGGTGATTAATTATATTTGAATGAAACACCTTACACTTCCAGATCTACCAGGAGCTGCTTCAGGGCCCTGAGGAAAACTCCTTCTACAACGGCTCTGTTCCAGAGATGCTTCCTCCTCCTCCTCCTCCTCCTCCTCCTCCTCCTGCTCCTCCACATCCTCCTCCACATCCTCCTCCACCCCTCCTGCTCTCATGCCTTCGTGAAACAGAAAGAGCTCCTCTTCCTCCCACTTGTACGTACAGTATAGCAGTATGAGACATTAAGTCATGGGATTTTTGATGGAAGTTTGCTGATGAATGCTATTTTAATGCAACACCTTTTCTTTTGGATTTTCTGCAGGCTTTGTTGGACTTCCAGATCCAGAGATACTTCATTCCTGTCCCTCCCCATCTCTGCAACCACCAGCACTTTCTACGCAAGCCGATTCATTGAAGGCCAAAGATTGCAGAGACGCTCCACCCGAGACTTCAGTGCCTTACTTTTCCAACAACGCCCCCTAAAACGACGTCTAATGTGCTCTTTTACTGTGTACTTTAAGCCTCTGCACTGTTTTACAATAAAGGAACTATTGTCTGCAACCATCTGATCAGTAATTTGAGACCAGAATAATTAGTATAAAACAGATCCTAAGGATATGATTGTTTTTGGGTGTTTAAGTTGAATTGTGTTCCTTTGCCATGGTATATTAATTATTAGTCGCCACTTATTTATGGTTTATATTAATACATTAATAACATTAACACATTCACTTTCTAGTAATTCATCATGTCCGCAATTTCTTGAGCCAAATGTACAAAGACATCTGACACAAAATGTAATTTACTGCAATTACGGCTATTTTAGCCAATACAACAGTTCCACAATCTCATCTCAAATATCAACAAGTATCATTGAAATGCGTATTAAATAAATAAAAAGCGTGTTGTTTCAATTTTCCAAAATAAAGTTTTTGTTCCCTCTACATTTAAGGTGAATCCTAAATATGAACCAAATATACCAAGAGCCACAATATGTCAAAGCCAGACATTTAATTATATAATAGCCCACTATATGTACAGATGAAATAATACAGATAACATATTCACATCAATTAAACAATTAAACAAATGCTAAATAACTTCAATATGAAGTGGGGTTCAGAGATGATCAATACAAGGATATTCAAGAAACAGTTAACAAACAGAAAATGATTAAAGAATATTTTGTTAGAGATTGAAGAACATTGTTAGAGCAGCTTATGAAATAATAAGTCATGAAATGCGAAATTCAGTCATTTACACTATATAAAAGGAGAAATGATTGTGTGAAGTCAAACAGCTAATCGTAATTACAGCATGCCCCTTTTTCAATTGTTGCCACATTATATACACATCCAGTCTCTTTTAGGCAGCTTTTTGGACAGGAATAAGGACATTGCAAACTCTTATGTATAACGTCACCTATTTGTTCTGTCCCTTTCAAACATACATTGAAATTGAGATGGTCAGGTACTGGAATAGCACATAATTTTGTGTTCTTAACAGCAAATATATAAGAAACGCATTGTAAACATGTACAGGAGCACATTTCAAGATTGTTAGGGCTTTAGACATTAGTCTGGTATATACAAAATATTACAACTATAACAACACATCCAAAGCAGCTCCAAATATAATTTCTGGCTGAAAGTGTCCCTCTCTATGGTTGTTGCTGGTATTGTCCCTCTGTGGCGGTGTAGAAGTCGTCCAGGACACTCTGCAGGTACTCGAAGGTGGGCCTGTCTTCAGGTTTGTGCTTCCAGCAGGACATCATGATGGCGTAGAGCTCGTCAGGACAGCTGTCAGGCTGAGGCATCCTGTAGCCGCGCTGCACAGAGGAAATCACCTCTCCTTTGGTCATACCTGAGGAGAACACAGGCAGGCATGCAGGTAAGAATATAGGAGAGCAGGCGTGTCCCAACTACGGCCCGGGGGCCAACTGCGGTCCGTTGTCCATTTTAAATTGGCCCCCAGCTAATTGTAAAAGTGTACTGGAATATGGCCCACATCTGAAACTTGTGCTTTTCTTATATTGCACTTCTTAAATATATGACACAGTAGTATTCGTGTGTTCATGTACCCAATTTTCAAATAAATTCAGTCAATTAAAGTTGAAAACATTTTCTAACGAATCTTAGTTGATAAAAAAACACCCAATAACTTACTTACATATCAAGCTTCAGATATACCTTTCCTCTTTCCCCTTATTATAAGCAATCTGAGGCTTCTGTTTTAAGAGATGAGTTGTCAACACTTTTTGTAACTAAATATATGAAACCCGATGGAAAGCTGTGATGTAGGCGTTTTTTTTCTATTTAAGCATTTCAATTATCAAGAATAATTTACCTACATTTGATTGATTTTGCTAACTTATAACTTAACTTATGAGGCAATAAATCTCACCTCTGGCCCAACCCTTTATATGCTTTTCTGTATGTGGCCTTCAGTGAAAAAGGTTTGGACACCCCTGGTTTAGAGGGACAACACACATATACCCACGTAGTCATTAGCATGAGTAAAGAATCACCAGTAGAGGACGGTAGATCTTCAAAACACAATGACTCCAGTATTGTGGAAAACTCTTTTACTGTAGTCACCACGTTTGTCATAGTCAAATTGTTTGTTATAAGTAAAAAAAAAAAAATCTTTATTTCTCTTGCATATTATTTTAATTGACAGTTTTATATTTATCACAAGTAAGAACACAAAGTGAGGAAAAGCACAGCTATGCAATTTATTTATTTAATGCTATTTTGTGCATTATTCAAAGATTATAACACTGTAGTTTAAAAAAAATTCAAATAATATAAGTAGTACAAATGGACTACTTAGGTTTACCTGGGTAGGGGCATTTCCCGTATGTTATTATCTCATAGAGCAGAACTCCGAAGGACCAGATGTCTGACTTGATGGTGAAGGATCCGTAGTTGATGGCCTCTGGAGCCGTCCACTTGATGGGGAATTTGGCTCCTGAGGATAACATGGTAAAAAACATTAAATATGCCGTTCATTTAGTATCTAGCAAAACCAGCTGCTTGACATGATCATTGGCTCAGTGGCTTTTGTGCTACCATGAACATACTGTAGGAGAAAATCAAACTTTTCAAAACCATTGACCATTTATCCAGTAAAACAACTTTGGGAAGATTAAATTGTATATTTTTAATCTTCCATAAACCAATCATTGCTGAATTTTCTATGACAATTGTTGTTACAAAATGCAAAAAACATGAAGTTACACAATCAATGTGTGTAAAATCGTTTTTTGCAGATAAGTGCATAATATGTCACTGAAATAAAAAAATATTAAAAATATTTATATATACCAAATTATTTGCTCTCATCATAATTGCTTTTGCCATTAGTTGTTTACATCTGAAAATGTTTTAACCTTACTGCACTGATCAGCTTATTGATAGACAGTCATAGCCTACTAGGCCAAGGAGTTGGTAGAGTATGGTCATAAAACTGCAAATCTATGCTAAAGGTCACAACTAATAAAAGCCATTAATTGTGATTGGTGGCTCTAGTATGTTCAGGAAACTGACACTGATAGTGGTTACTTTAATCCTCTTCTGTCTTTGGTAAAACAATTTTAGTAAGAATCTCTCCACACTCTTTATACTATAAGGTCTAACGGTTAGTGTCTCTCAGTGTTTGAGCCATTTATAACATACTGTCATAAAACCTGTCGCACTTGGCTTATCATATTAACTTTTTCCCATTCTGGTTATGAATTTAATCCAAACACACCACTCCAAAGCAACGGACATACATGGATGATTCACATTGCCTTTTTAAGTTTAAAATTTAAAAAAGTTGTAATACTATAATTTGTAAATATTCAGTATTTTCTCAGACTAATACCTAGAACAAGGCACCTACTTCCTGATCATTCCCCACCCACAGAGATAACACCTATATCAAACACATGTTTACCACAATGTATAAACTTCCCTCATGTTTCAAAAATGAGTTGAATTCAAGTTTTGTGTAAGTGTTAAAAATATCGAAACCTGTCTTTTGGCAAAAGTAAGTATCAGGCCACAGCAATGTTTGTTCATAAACTTTGCAATTAATCTAGTCCCTCTCCACACACCCTTTTCTGATATTTGGATGTGTGTCTTCACCCCTTTCAACTCCTGATGCAAACCCCTTTAAACTTGAAAACATTTCCTAAGCAGATGATAACAAGCTGTTGGACATAAGAAATGAACCACTCTTTACTTTACTACAGAGGCATGTATGGAAATATTTTTGAGCATATTTACTGCATATTTCTTCAGTGACCATGGGATGCAGGAAATGCCTAAGGTCAAAGCACAGGAGAAATCCTTTATTCTCAGAGATAGTTGCTAATGTAGGTATTTTTCTAACCCTAACCCTAATGCTAACCCTTAGCAATTGGAGTGGAATTTAGATAGGAGAAATACACTTGACTTTTAGTTTTCCATAGCCATTAGTGTCTGTTTCAAACATACAGTATACGTTGTATAAACATATGAACGGGACTTTGATAGTTGGCTCCTTAGCCCCATTCACTACTGGGCAGACTCTGGCTCCAAATGACGCCACCAGCACAAAATGGCAGCGGCTGTATCCAGGATATTTTGGCTTCGTTTTTTGTATAGTGGGAAGAAGTGGAGACACGCTGTCTATCTATATATAGTGTAAATAGTTCTAACCAAAACAATGTAATGCACCTATTGGATAACAAAAGTAGGAAGTCGTTTTTGTTTTAATTTGGGGGAAATGAGACATTCCTGCACGGTTAACTTTTGCAGCACCCTTGTATATGTGTGTGTGCGACAAGAATGACATACTCACCCAACCAGACATCTCCAAACTGCCCCGCTCCTAGTTTCTTTACCATCCTAATAGAGTCTTTAGAAATCTCCCAGGCATCTTTATCCCACGGTTTCTGAGCTTTGGGTTTCACACATGCACGGTCCAGTTTACGACACAGGCCATCCGGTTTGTCTGGAAGGTGAACACACACACAGTCAAGACTAAGGTATACTTGCATTACTGTTCCATTTTATGAATAAAACATTATCTTTAAAAACCTTTTCTTTAAGTGTTTATATTGAAATCAACCATTGGTGTCAAAGATGGGGTTGGGTGAGTTTTTTGAATACTATTTTTTAAGTGGATCCATTCCATAGATTTGGCTACTCACTACGGTAGTGTTTGATGAGTGCACCGATGTCACTGAAGGAGATTTTAGGAGAGATGTAGAAGCCGCCGTTATCCAGCATCCTAATCTTATAATGTTTGACTGATTCTGTCCCGTTGGCATCAAAGTCTCTGATGGACAATGAGTAACTTCCTGTGAAAAAGTAAGCAAGTAAATAAGTGAGTTACTAGAAATGGAGCAGGAGGAAATCAATATGTTGATACATTCCCATACCTTTTTGTGTTTCACTTTCCCTGATGAGATAAGAGCCTGGTTTGTTTGCAGGTGCCAACAGCTGCCTCTCTGCATCCTTTCTCGTGATGTCCTTGAAAAACCAGCTGCAAAGAATTATGAAAAAACACTGTTTTATTAAAGTTGATTCCACCCATTATACAAATCACACCTTGGTTGGGTATATAGTTGGGTTTTACATTGCTTTTCTTTAGCTTTATAATAGGATGATGATCAATTCCAACATCCTTTAAAAAAAGAAGCTGTTATTGAGAAATAACTAAGGATTTGGTTTGAGCTACTTACTCTTCTGTTTCGATGGTGTCAGCTTGGGCAACATAATTGCATGGGATGAATCCTTCTTTGTTGGTGACCAATGACACTGCTTTCCACCACTCCCCGTGTCTATTGGAAATATCAATTTATTTAAGCATGTTTATCATTTGGTTTGATTGATGTTTATACCTTCTAGAGCTTTTTGTCATAAAGTTATAGTCCAATCTCTTGAACCCTGGAATTCCGTTAAAGGGACGGTGATTGAAATTGGAGTTGTGGATAATATACTGGATAAGAACCTCATGCAAACCCACTTGAACAACTATGTCTTTAGTTTTCTCAACAAATGTGCATACTTCATTGTAATTATACAGATGTAGCACTTCATTTCAGACTCCAGCTTACAGCTTCCTGCCTACGACCTGCCTAAGACCAGTATAGAGGAATGTTAAGCCCTCCCACTATTTTCCAAGAGGGCGTTGCCAGATTTTCAATTTCAGGTTTTAACCAGGAGATGCCGCTTCATTCACAAATACAGAAAGACAAGTTTCGAAGAGCATTTGATCACATCAATATTTTAGATACTATACTAAAGTATATCTAATCTTGTAATTCAATAATATATTTATATATTAAATAATCATAATAATAACGTAAATGTTTACATTACACTTCTTTATTTGTTATGCTCATACTTTTACCTTTACAATCGTTTGCTTTAATATGCAGTATATTTTTTGTATACTTTTGTGTTTGCTTCCTCCTGCTCCCTTTCGGACACATACTGTATGATTTATTATTATTATTAATATGAAGATATTATTAAGATAAGATAAGATGTTACTTTATTGATTGAACATTTTAGTTTAGAATGTGCTGTCCCACGGTAATTCAGAAGGCTCACAGGTCACATTCCGACCATTATTTAAAACAATAGGTGCTTTCACACCGTCTACAGTTTGATTTGTATAGAGGGAGCTCTGTCAGTTTTCGAATTACCCATTTGCTTTCGGGGAGCCCTATTTTTCAGAGCACATCCTGCTACT